TCCTAGAATTAATTCGATCCATGAATTTTAATTCTTTCCAAGTTAATTTTTTTATCTTAATATTAACTCTTTGTTTTTGTTTGTTTTATTTTCTAACTATATTTATGATCTTTTTTTAGGATAATTTTAATTGATCAAAAGGTAAATAATTATGATCGAATTTTTAAATTTTAGTTTTAATTTTAATTTTCACAATTAAGACAACCGATAAATTAAACGGTACCGAAAGGGCAGTTCAAGGGTGTTAATCCTTCCATGATTGTAACCGACTCCCGAGCCTGACATATTTCTGGTAAAACGCAGATCAGGTAAGATAGTGTCCGATCAACCGAAATATCGTTTTAAAATGATTGGAGGCGACTCTTTCAATTTAATTTCAAAATCCTTAATTTTTCAAAATTAAAGTCGTAATCATTTTTAAAACAATAAATAATTGTTCCACCTAAAAATGATTATGACAGGTTTATATTTGATAAGAGTTTTTTTTCTTTTTCAAATAATATTAGGATTTATATTTTATTTAAGTTATTTGAGTATTTTTTTTATTTGCGTATAAAATTAATTGAGTTTAAAAATATTAATAAGATTAAGGTTAAAATTTATTAAGTCTTAATATTTCAAACGGGTTTGGAGAACATAAACGAACAAACATAAATGAACATAAACAAACGAACATAAATGATCGAATATATTATAGAATGTTCAAAAACGTAAATAACGAACAAGCCTTTTGTTTGTAATCATTCATTTAATTAAACGAACATAAAATCTTGTTCATGTTTGCTCGTTTAATAAATAAACAAATATAAATGAACTTCCTACTGAACGGTTCGTTTACAGGCCTAGATTTGGAACTTGAAGGTCGGACAGAGCCCAAAACCAACAAGCTAGTTTGAGAAAAAAGTGAACCTCAGCATATGCATCTTCTGTGGCCCGGCGAGAACCGATTCATTTTTTTGGTAGAAAACAACATTGTCACCCTATGGGGCTGTAGGGATGGAACCAGCTCCGTGGAAAAATATCTATTTAAATAATATGAGATGATTATAAGATAGTATATATCTATAATCTTTTTTAGTCATTGATAAAATACACATACCTTGTAGATGCAGCTAGGGATGTAAAAAACTGACCCGACATGGAAAACTTACTGAAACCGACTCGAGTCAAAACTGTTTGTGACCTGAGCTGTGGTGATCTGAAACTGACTCGAGTCTGAACTGGTGTTTACCTGAACCCGAGTTAGACTTGGAAATTGTGGATCTGAACCCGACCTGCACCCGATCTGAGAATAACTTAAACCCGAGATTAAACCGGTAAATAATTGGTATTACCCAACCTATTATCAACCTGACATGTTATGAACTTGACCTGTAATTGACTCAACATGTAAATGATTTGACTTGTTATTGAACTTATAATAAACTATAATAACTAATATGATTACATTTTAAAAGATAAAACAAATTGCTAGTTATGATAACTAAATAAATTTACTTTTTATATTAATTATAATTCATATATTATAAATCTTAATAATAATAAATTATTTAATTTCATTAAATAATTTAATTATTGAACATGATTTTATTAGATTATATAAAATTAGTTTAAATATTTATAAGTTTAATTTATTTTTATGTAATAATTAATTAATAATTCAAATATAATTTATCTTAAAATTTTAAAATATATATAAAAGATGAATTTATTTGAGAATAAAAATTTAAAAAGAAATACTTTATTTTGGAAGAAAATTTGATTTGTGGAGGGAAAATTTATTAAAAGAGAGATTGTTTTTTTTTTTGAGGGAAAATTGATTCTTTTGGGAATTTAGAAGTAGTAATTGGAGGGATTGGTCTTAGGGGTTGTTTGGTTCAAGGTATATCTTATTACCGGGGGAATGAAATCCTCATTCCTCCGTTTGGTTGGCCAACATTCCCAGCTTTCAGTAATCTTTTATTACCAATAGTGGATTTTTTTGGTATATTATCGGGAATGTGATTACTCCTTTCCCTTAGGTATTGTTGGATTACCAGCGTTTTGGACTAAAATATCCTTAATTTATTTTTCAAAAATATCCTTCTTCTGTTGTTGAAAATAAAAATTCTACGAAGGTTAAATTACAAATTTATCCTTAAACTATTTTATATTTACAAAAAAATCTATAATTAAAATTTTATATGAAGTTCAGGGGTTAAAATAAAATTTTACCCTTTCATTAAACCTATTTATCTTTTCAATTTTGTAAAAAAAATTATATAAATTTTATGAATTTAAATTTTTTAAAGAAAATATATAAATTAATTATAGTAATATTATAGTAGAATTCAACTTGTTAAAAAATAAATCTATAATAAGGACAATTTGATAAAATATACATTCCAATAATCTTTTATTCCTTAACCAAACACTAAAATCTTACATTCCTGCTAAACTAACCAAACACAAAATACAACATTCTCAGTAATCCTATTCCCCGGTAATCTTTTATTCCCACTGGTAATCTTACATTCCGTGAACCAAACACACCCTTAGTGTCCAATAAAATGTTTTGGTTTAATTAGGCATGCGCTCCTCAAACAATCAATGTTTTTCTATTTTGTTATTTGTTTTTTTTTCTTTCACTTCAATCATGGTTTAATTGCAAATCTCTTATTGAATTTTTAATTCAATGCAATTTTGTCATGTATACATTCTAATTCTAGTCATTAAATGTGAATGTTAATTTAGAATTTTTTATTTAGTCACTTATGTTTAATGATATATACTTATGTGTGTGTATATATATATATATATATATATATATATATATATATATATATATATATATATATATATATATATTACATATATATATATATATATATATATATATATATATATATATATATATATACACTTATCTATATACTTATTTCATACATCATACATATATACTTATGTATATAGTATATATATATATATATATATATATATATATATATACTTTATAGTTTATAGTTTATATATACTATATAGTTTATATATTTCATAGTTTATAGTTATATATTTACTATATAGTTTATATACTTATACTTATATATATGTACTTTTATATATATATATATATATATATACATCATACATATGTACATACATTATATATAGTACATATCATTGATCATTGATCAATGATAATATATATATATATATATATATTCATACTTATGTACATACATCATACACATATACTTATATATATTATATATTTATAATTTATATATATATACTTATATTATATACACACATCATACATATGTACATACATTATTAATCAATGATATATTAATATTATGTGCATACATCATGTATAAATACATATATCATTGATCAATTATATATATATATATTATACATAAGTGGATTGTGTTATGTATTTTGTAATACAGATGAGCTTATATTTATAATATGGACTTTTATATATATACATATATTTAATTGTATATTGAGCATACAAATGGATTTTTATAAATATTGAGTTATGTAATTTGTAATACAAATGAGCTTATATTAATAAAATGTATTTGTATTTATTTCAAAAATTTATATATTACAGACATAAGTATATATATATTAAGTATAACAGATGCATAAGTGTAATGTACATTCAATATACATGTATCATAACATTCATCATATATATATATACTTTTTTTAAATTATAATTTGTAATTTCATGTTTAATCAATTTAGACCTTAAAGTTATATTATAAAATCCAAAACCTTATAAATTTTTGTTCCTCAACTTTTGAAATGAATGCAATTTTGTCCATTTTATGTTAATTTCAACTTCACAAGTTACAATTATTTTGATTTGACCCTTGTATGTTGTTTAATTTATTTAAATCTTAACGTGTAATTTCATATTTGTTCAATTTAGTCCTTAAAATTATATTTGTATATGAAATTAGCCCATACTTATTTATGTTTATATAATTTACTTCAAACCCAACAAATCAAATAATAAACTACATTTTAAACTCTATAAATTATATCATAATCTCCAAACCCTTTAAACTTTTTTTCCAAATGGATTCAATTTTATCCATTTTTATATTAATTTCAACTTAACATTTTATAATTATTTCAATTTGATCCCTCATCCTTGCATGTTGTTTAATTTATTTAAGTTATTGTTTGTAATTTCATGTTTATTCAATTTAGTCCTTAAAATTATATTTTTATTAAAATTGATCCATAATTATTTATATTTTTTTTGTAATTTACTCCAAATCATATACAATTACAAATTGCAATTTGTCATTCATGAAAGACAAAATAATTAACCCAAAAATAACCCAACCTAAACTCAATTTGTACTCGATAAGATCCTACCTGAATTTTGTCTATCAATGTGTAACCTGATCTAAACGAGATCCGACTAAAATCCACCCGAACCTAAATTAACTTCGTATTTAACTTCTTGAAACCTAAACCATTTGACCTGAACTAATATCGATTCGAATTGAAATTAACCCGATCTGAACCCGAACTAAATCTAATATCAAATCAACCTGAAATGACCCGAACTAATTTAACCCTAAACCAAACCTAATCCGAGTCAAACCATCAAATTGACATAACACAACCTATATCTGATTTGACCTGACCTGATAAGATCCGACTGAAAACTAAACGATTACCTGATTTCACATCCCTAGATGCAACTGCTAAAACCTATAACTTCTAAGAAAAATAACTCACTTCAACGACTAAGTCAATTTACTTGTGTTCTTTAATTAGTCTGATAGTCTCTCTCGCTTCTTTATTCTGTCAAAACGCGCCATTGAATCTTAAACTTGTAAAGTTGTAGCAATTTATGACAGGTATCGACAATGAAAAGGCAAGGCCCCATTCCAAATATTATCCTCTACAAATAAGGCATCCCATTTAAACAAAAAATAGTTGTACTTCATGGAATGAAAAATCTTTGAATTTTAATCTAAACATCACCCACCACAAAAAAAAATTCATGTTTTTTTCTCCTTATGATTAATTAATTGAATGAACCGAAACCCTGCAGTGTTCAATAGATTGAGGTTTTTTCAAAACTTCAATCATTGTGAAGAACAATGGGAAAAGTTTCTTGTTCATTTGTTTGCCAATGCAGAAGAATACAAATTGGTGAAACCCAGAATCAGCATTGCTTGAAAGGTATGTAATTGTTTGGTTCGGCCCTCTCGAGCCATGGTCAGGGTCAGGGTCCGGACACACCACGCCACTCGACCAAGACCTGTTGTTGTTGAGTCGGCCAATGGCGTTGACCATCTTGGAAACAATCTAAATCTTAGGGTAAATTACTAAAATTCCCTTCACCTCCACGTGCAGGACAACGTGTCCCCCCTTTATTGATGACATTGCTTTTGTTGCTTTGGATCTTACCTAGAATACAAACTACATGTTTGTTCAAAATAGACATTTGAAAGAAAATGCAAAATGAGTCAGACAATTATTCTGTCTATTGCAGAGTAAGCGGAATAATAATCCTCTTCTACAGAATGAACTCAAAATCCTTCGTTTCGTTGAATGTACATTCAATAAACCAAATATCAATGGTTTTAGTTATTTTTGTTAAACTCAAATTTTATTTTAAGACAATTATTCTGAATTCATGTTAAGATGAAACTTGTTTAAGTTTGATATAATTCTATTTTGATTAAATTATATGTCATGACTATTAAGGAATTAGGGTTAGGGAAAATGATTTGGGAATGGTTTGATATGATTTGGGAGATAGGGTTGATCGTGCGACTGTTGGATTAAGGATTGGATGAAAATTGGGGGTGATCTGATGATTAATGATAATAGTAAGTTGAAAGTGTCTAAACGGCATCGGATTAGTGATCGAGGGTAGTTGGGTCAACAAGTTAGAGTTGAGTTGGCCTAGGTTGGGCTAAGCCCAATTCGTTGTAATTAGTTGGCCAATTGGATAGTTGTTAGTTGACCTGCATTAGTCAAACATTAGTTGTATATAAAAAGGGTTGTATTGTAAGTAGGGGGGTATCTTGAAATTGAAAATAATAAACTTCAGACTTCTTTTTACCTTTCTTCTCTCTTTTGTAATCTTTTCTTCTTCGAATCATTATAATTGGTATATAGAGCTAATCTTGATCCATTAGCAAGCATTAGAAATCAAGAAAATACACATCAAGAGTGGTGATGGCAATCAGTCGACAACCACTCAACCTGCAACAATGCAAGAATCATTAGATAATAAAAAAAACTTCATGCATGGTGGAAAGATCAAAAAAGCACCTTTGGACAAAAGACTGGATGCACTAGAGTCTCGCACAGAGGAAACGCATGGAATTGTACAAAGAATCTTGGCCTTGATGACCAAGGCAGCAAAAGAAGAGGAACCTTCCCCCACGAGCAGTGAACAAACAATCCAAAAGTGTCAACAGTAAATTGGATGGCAAAAAACCAGTACAAGTGACTGTGATCAACAATAAAGAAAGGTGTTCTTTAAAAACTGATGAACAAAGGGAATTAACATCTGAACCATAGAAAATAGTGAATCCTATTTTACAAGAAAGGTTACAAGAATCTTCTTGGAACCCACCCACCACACCTATAAACAAAATCAATTCACTAAGGAAGGTACTAGGGCTGAGCAACGAAACCGAGAAAACCGAAAAACCGACACGAACCAAGTAAAACGGTTCGGTTCGGTTCGTTTCAGTTTGACCTTATACGGTTCGGTTTTCGGGTTGGTTTAAAGAATCAATTCTATCGATTCAATTTGGTTCGGGTTTTCCATATGAAACCCATTTGTTCCATATTGAACCGAATAGACAAAAAAAATGAATTTATAGTTTCAAGTGAATTTTTCATTGAAAAACCGATAAACCGAACCGAAAAAACCGCATTATCAAACCGAACTGAAAAAATCGGTTTCGTATAATTCGGTTTTTTAACCATTCAGTTTCAGTTTAAATTCTAAAAACCCGTTTATTTCGGTTCGGTTTGATTTTTAGTAAAAAACCGAACCGAATACACCCCTAGAAGGTACCAACAATATAAAGGAAGAACTATCACTAGGAAGGTATCCTATTCAAAACCATCATGTCCCCAGACCTAAAATTGAACTCTACATGTTTGATGGAACCAATCCTAGGAGTTGGGTTAAGAAGTGTCAAAGATACTTTTTAATTTTTTATATTCCTGAAAATTATAAGTTAGAAGTTGCTGGAATGTACTTGGTAGGGCAGGCAGAGGTTTGGTTTGATGGCTATATTATGCAAAAAAAAATAAGGCTACATGGAAGGAATTTGTGGCAGATCTATGTCACAGATTCTATGACATGAATTACTCGGACGTGATAGATGAGTTCAACAAACTACTACAGAAGCCTTCAGTGGCAGAATATCAGGCTAAACTTGAAGAAATAAAGCCTTACATGTTACAACAAAACCCCTATTTGGATGAAGGCTATTTTGTATCTATCTTTATCAGCAGGCTTAAGGAATAGTTGAAGCACAAAGTAAAGGTGCATGAGCCACACAATTAAATGAAGCATATAGAAAAGTAAAAATTTATGAGTTAGCCTTAGAAGTGGTTGCTAAAGATACAAATCTTAAAGGATAATTTATTACTTGAGTGCAGAAAAAGAGTATGAGGATGAAATTCCTACAGTGCGCAGAGAAGTGTTAGATAGGTGTTCAGAAATTTTTGAGGAACCTACATGGTTACCACCCACTATAAACCATGATCTCTCCACTGCACTTCAGCCTAATGCACAACCAGTAAAAATCAGACCCTACAAGTTCCCTTATTACCAGAGGAAAGAAGTGGAAAAGCAAATCCAATACATTTTGTCATCCTCTGTGCTACAGTACATTTATAAGTCTTTACAGGAACATCTTATAATAGCACAACACAAAATGAAACAGTATGCAGATAGAAAACGTACTGAACGTAAAATTCAAGTGGGAGACGAGGTTTACCTTAAGGTCCAGCCCTACAGACAGTTTACGGTGGCGTTGAGGAGGAATTTGAAGCTCTCGGCTTGGTTTTATAAACCCTACAAAATAGTGGAACGAATTGGGTACTGGCATAACTTAGATTTAGGGTTTAGGTCTCCAAAATTCATTACGTCTTTTTTATTAGCCTCTTGAAATGAATGTCGATCAGAATACTATTACCTCAGTTCATCCACCAGAGTTAGGAGACGACGGACATCTCAGAGTGTACACAGCAATCGTTTTGGCTAAACGTGTCATTCAGCGACACAATCGAGTGGTGACACCGATGGATTCAGTGGTCTCACCTTGGTATCGAGAACGCTACGTGGGATGATTTTTTGGTTCTTAAATTTCAGTTTTACAATTTTGAGCCTCGGGGACAAGGCTCAGCTACAACGAGGGGTATTGTCGTGGCTATGGAAGGAGAAAATGAGCAGCTAGGGTTTGGGTGCGAAAGAATTGGGAATTTGGGAATTCTCGGAAATCTTCTCAATTCGCTCGGAACGATTACAGCATTTTGGGATCTCAATTTTCAGAGTTCGATCCTTGGGGAAAAGGAACAGTTGATGGTGGGGAATTTGTCATGACTATTGAGGGATTAGGGTAGGGCATATGACTTGGGAATGGTTTGATACGATTTAGGAGTTAAAGTTGATTGTGGGACTTTGTTGGATTTTGGATTGGATGTAAATTGGGGGTGATCTGACTACTAATGATAATAGTAAGTTGTAAGTGTCAAATGGCACCGAATTAGTGATTGAGGGTAGTGGGGTCAACAAGTTAGAGTGGAATGGGCCTAGGTTAGTGTAAGCCCAATTCGTTGTAATAGTTGGCCAATTGGGTAGTTGTTAGTTGACCGGCATTAGTCAAACGTTAGTTGTATATTAAAAGGGTTGTATTGTAAGCAGGGGGAATATCTTGAAATTAGAAACAATAAACTTCAGACTTCTTTTTACCTTTCTTCTCTCTTCTGTAATCTTTTTTTCTTCTAACCATTACATTATACTTCTTATACCAGTTTTTAAATTAAAAGTAATAAATTTAATTTGGATATTTTTTATTACGTAAATTTAATTATCTTTATAAATAGATAATAAAAATTAAAGTTAGAATTTAAACAATAAAAGTTGTATAACCCGCTAAAAGCAATCATGTTATACTATTCAATGTTGTTGGAAATTTCTATATTCTACCAATAAATTTTTTTCTTCTTAGATTTTTTCACATAAATATGTGATTATTAGATCAATTTTATTTATTGTTATTATCATAGTATAAAAGTAATATACTCAAGGTGCATGCATTATACATCATTAAATAATAAAATATTATTAATTTCTATAATAAACACGAACTAAGTTATCTCAGTGGTTAGAGAAATAGCTGACATTCCTAAAAATCTTAGGTTCGAGCACCAGAGATGATAGGGTATTTGAACGTTCATTATCAAATGATTGAGAATCTTTAAGAGAGACACTATTACTTATAAGCATCCTAGATTAATAAAAAAAATCTACAAGAAAAATAATCTTCGAATACAAAATTCATGGTTTCTAATACTTGTCCAATGAGTTGTCATTTATCTAGGAATAACATTCATATTCGTATTCCAAGACGTATACGAGTTATGAGTGTTACAAGGCCAGATATCACTTATGTTGTTCATCATTGAGACAATTCATGCAACAATCTAAAGCACTCTCATCTTGAAGAAGCACTCAGACTTGTAAGGTATTAAGAAAAATCCTGGAAAAGGGATTTTGTTGAAAGCGGCAAATGAAATGTAATAAATAAATGCTTTTTGTGACTCGAATTGTGCAACATGTCTTACGTTAAGAAAGTTTGTCACGTGCTTTTGCATTAAGTTAGGGGATTCTCTGATTTATTAGAAATCAAAAAAGCATAATACAACAGCCGCTCCTCTATTGAAGCAGAGTACAGAAGTCCGACTGCCATGGTTGCTGAGATAGTTTGGCTGAAGGGTTTGTTAGCAGAACTAGGTGTAAAAGAATTGCAGGCAGCAAGAGTGAAATGTTACAGCAAGGCAGCATCGCAAATTGCAGCTAATCTGGTTTTCTATGAGGGAACTGAACATATCGAGATAAACTATCATTCTGTGAGGGGAAAAATCCAAGAAGGACATATACAGGTCGAGTATATAAGCACAAGGGGGCAGCAAGCAGGCATCATGACCAAGGCTTTGGGTAGTCAGCAACATGAATACTGTCGTAACCGGTTTTTGTCCGGGCACGAAATATTAAATTTGGCGGGGAAATTGATGTGAATAAATGGTTTTGAAAATAATTTGAGAGTCGCCATCGGCCTTTTGGGTCAGGTAGGTCGAATACCTAAAAATATTTTTTTTTTAAAAGAGTTTTAAGAAAACATCAATTAAAAAATTAAACTGATCTGCGTTTATAACCAAAAATTCATTCTTTTTAAAAAAAGGATTCGTGGTCGATTACGTTTAGGGAAGGATTAGCACCCCTACAACGCCCAAAATTGGTACTTTTTAATTTTAAATTGTCTCTATTATTAAAATTTAAAAATTCAAAAATATATTTAATTTTTAATCCTATTATTTTCAAAAATTATATTAAAAAATATCCGAAAAGAACTTCTAGGTGCTTTAAGACAGTTCTTTTCTTTGATATTGATAAATATTAATTTAAATAATATTGTTTAATTTTAAAACATCAGAATAGGACATCCAGTTGTATTAAGACTGTCCTTTTCTTCGATATATATAAAAAATATTAAAATAATTTATTAAAAAAATATGATTTATTATTCATTATATATATTTATGACTATATAATAATAGTAACATTATTTAAATATATAAACAATTAAAACAATAAAAATACAATTAGAACAATATTTAAAAGTGGTAAATAAATGAAAATATTTAAAATTAGTGACTAAATTATAGTAAAAATTAAAATTAAAAAAAACCTAATTCATAATTAATCAAAAATATAAGGTTTAAACATGTTATTTTCGTATTTTATTAATTTAGTGACTAATTTAAAACTATATAAAATTCGAATATCATATTAAAATAAATTAAAAATATATACTCGGGATTAAAATATTATTTATCAAAATTAAAGGACTAAATATGAAATTTATCTTAAATATATTATTAATACGGTTAATGGCTAAAATATAAATAAATAAAATGTAGAGACCAAATTAAAAGAATCAAAATTTGATTCAGTGACTAAAAGGTAAAGATTACAAACTAAAGGGATGACGGAAGAGGTTAATCTTTTATAATTACGGACAGATCCCTCCCCAACGGCGTCGTTTGGGGAGGGCTATTTAAGCCCATTCATAGCTGGCCCGAAGGGCCAGCATCTCATTTCTTTCTTCTTCTTCTTCTCTCAAAAACGAGAGAAGAAGCTCTCTCTCTTCCTTCTCTCTAGCTTCCCTCATCGGAGGGAAGCTGGTTATCAGTCGGCCACCGTGGGCCACCGTCAAAACCACCGCCGGCCACCATATCCGGTGGCCGGAAATTATAAATCCCACCCTAAATTAAAGCCTGGTTTTCCCTAAAGCTAGATCCGTAGGTTTTTTAGCCTAAAATACTACTGAAATGCGTAGATCTAAAGTTTATACCTTCGACCTTTGACTTTCCGATGGCTCCAAAAAGGCTCTGATGATCAACGGTTCCCTCGGTAAGTTTCTTTTCTTCCTTTTTCCTTTTGTTTTTGCTCTGTTGTGGTGGACTGGGATCGTTGGTAGCTGTTGTTTTCTCTGTTTTTTTCCGGTTCTATTTCTCTCTTCTTTTTTTTTTTGTTTCTGTGTCTCGTTCTGTCTCTCTTTTCTGTCTCGCAGGTGGGTGGTGGCTTTTATAGCCACCACCGGTGCGGTCATCGGACCGGTCCGAAGAGAGGGCTTTGGTGAGTCACCGGACTACCAGTGGTGACTCACCCCGTAGCCTTGGCGTGGACGGCCGGCGTTGATCTTCTGGAGCCTTCATTCGGGACGTGGCAGCGGCGGAGGCGTCGGCAGTGGGCCATTGGACCACTTGACATGTGAGGCGGCGGCTGGGATCTGGAAGCATCAGAGGCGGCTGGGTGTGGCTAGGGTTTAGAAACCCTAGCTGAAACCTTACTAATTGTTTAGGGTTTCTGGTTGTCTGGACCGGTTCCGGTTGGTTTGTAACTGGGCCGGTCCAGTTGTAATTATTTATTAAATAATAATAATAATATATAATATTAATAATAATAATAATACTAATAATAATAATAATAATAATAATAATAATGCTAATAATAATAATAATAATAATAATAATAATAATAATAATAATAATAATATTAATAATGATAATAATAATAATAATAATAATAAATGGATAAAAAAAAATAGTATCTTCAGCTGCCCCTCTTTGCTCATTCTTGTGTTAACAAGAATAGGGCAAAGATGAAAAGATAATAAAATTTTTTTATCCATTTGACTTTATTTTGATTATAATGGAGATATTGAGTAAATTCTTCTCTCTCTCCAAATAAGTTCTTCTTATTATGAACTCTCTGCTGGGGATGATGATGACCTCCTTTCTGTGATAGAGTCATTCAAAAAGGTTGAATAAACTCTTGATGAGTTCTTCTCATTATGAACTTTCTCTTCTTTCTTCAGATGATATCAAACAAAGGTTGAACAAGCTCTTCTCATTATGAACTTCTTCTTCCTTCTTCAGATGAGTTCTTCTCATTCATGAACTTTCTTTGGCCATGTTGATCCATCAAATGATGAATTTAAACAAAAAGTTGAACATGTTCTTCTCCCTTCTTCAGATGAGTTCTTCTCATTATGAACTTTCTCTGGAAAAGATGATCTACCAAATGATGGATTCAGGTAAAAGGTTGAACAAATTCTTCTCATTATGAACTTCTTCTTCCTTCTTCAGATGAGTTTTTCTCATTATGAACTTTCTCTGGAAAAGATGATCCACCAAATGATGGATTCAGGTAAAAGGTTGAACAAATTCTTCTCATTATGAACTTCTTCTTCCTTCTTCAGATGACGAGTTCTTCTCATTATGAACTCTCCCTCTGGAAAAGATGATCCACCAAATGATGGATTCAGGTAAAAGGTTGAACAAATTCTTCTCATTATGAACTTCTTCTTCCTTCTTCAGATGACGAGTTCTTCTCATTATGAACTCTCCCTCTGGAAAAGATGATCCACCAAATGATGGATTCAGGTAAAAGGTTGAACAAATTCTTCTCATTATGAACTTCTTCTTCCTTCTTCAGATGACGAGTTCTTCTCATTATGAACTCTCCCTCTGGAAAAGATGATCCACCAAATGATGGATTCAGGTAAAAGGTTGAACAAATTCTTCTCATTATGAACTTCTTCTTCCTTCTTCAGATGACGAGTTCTTCTCATTATGAACTCTCCCTCTGGAAAAGAATGATCCATCAAGTGATGAATTCAAGCAAAAAGTTGAACAAGTTCTTCTCATTATGAACTTCTTCTTCCTTCTTCAGATGACGAGTTCTTCTCATTATGAACTCTACCTTGCAATGTTAATCTTTCAAATGATAGATTTGAATCTTTGCTAAAATCTTTGAAATTCCTGTTAAAAATTCAACAAGAATAAAAATGAATGAAAATGCATCTATTTTTGTAAACACCTAAAATATGATGCATGAATGTGAAGTTATTTGATTTCAG